CTTCAGAATCAACTATCGTTTGTCACATTTGATTGATAATGTCTTTTGAATAAAGACGAAACGTCTCTAACGGAAAATAGCTATTTTCATTATGATAAAGGTGGTTTATATCTTATTGTCTATTTTAAAATTTTTCACCTTAAATGATGATTCAATTGTTATCACCATACGTAAGAGGTATGGTCGTGGGGTTTTACAGACATTTCGACAGTTGGAAAAGTTAAAAATAAAACAAGTTCGTGTGGAACAAGGTATTGAATTTATTCGTATATGTCTACTGTATGATGCGTCACCTAAATTTGTCAGGTTCAAAGCGTATAACAAACAATTTCATGATTCAAATAAATACCGTGAGTTAAGTCGTTCTATTCTGTATGATTCTTATCAAGTGAAGAAAAAGGAATTTGAAACGATTAAACGCTTAGTTGCTTCAAAAGATAATGAATTAAAAGTGATTATTGGCTCAGTAACTTATGTCAAAATATCATCACATATAAGCTATATTGTTGAAAGAGAGAAGAAGTTGTTGAGGATGCATCATAAGAACAAGCTAGTGGATCTTACAATACCTGTAGATAAAAGCGAGTTCAAACAGAAATTGGTGTATAACTATTCACATCGTGCTCTTACAAAAGGCGAAGAAAGTTTATTGTCACATGGTTGGAAATATGCAATTAATACGAAACCTTTAAGCCCATTGAATGTTAAAGCTGATATTGAGTATATGTATCACTGTATGGAAAGAAACTCATTGATTAATAAGTCTAATATATCAAAAGTCAAAAGTATATTACATGAATTTGGTAATAACATTATAAAGAAACAAAGATCTAATATTCCGAATTTATCTAATGAAGAAATTCAAGCGATTAAAACACTTTTGAATGATAAATCGCTTGTTATTTCAAAAGTTGATAAAGGTAATGCTGTAGTGGTTCTGAATAAAGAAGATTATCTAGAAAAAGGACATTCTTTACTTGCTGATCAGCGTTTATTCAGAGTGTTAGATGATAACCCTACGGAAGAACGCGAGAAGCAATTTATTGCATTTTTGCTGAAATTAAAAAACAAAAAAAATGATCACAAAAGATGATTATAAAAGTATGCGTCCAAATACAGGATCTCGAACACCAGAAGCATATTTTCTTGTGAAAGTACATAAAAAGAATCAGCCGGTTCGGCCTATTATCTCAAGTTATGATTCATATAATTATAGAGCGGCTAAATATCTTGCTGACTTATTACTACCTGCAATGAAAGATGGTCGTTCGTACGTAAAAGATACTTTTCATTTTGTGGACAAAATTCAGGCAAATAAAAATATTACCGGCATTATGTTCTCGTTAGATGTATCATCTTTATTTACTAATGTACCATTAGAAAAATCTATTGAGATAGCTATGAAAAAACTTCGTGAGTACCATCCCAAATTGAAAATTGATGACAAAAGTCTACGTGAGTTATTTTATTTTTGTACAAAAAGAACAAATTTCATATTTGACCGTAAAAACTATGATCAAATCAACGGAGTTTCTATGGGTAGTCCTCTTGCACCGGTTATGGCAAACTTATTCATGAATGAATTTGAAAAGGCAATAGACAATTATCCGGGAAAAAAGCTAGATCTATATCTGAGATATGTTGATGACATCTTTGCTATAATTCATGGAACTCAGAAAGACATTCATGCTCTAGTGAAATATATTAATAAAATAGATCCTAATATAAAATTCACAGTAGAAGTACAAAATATTAATAAGTTGTCGTTTTTGGATGTAATGGTTGAAAGATCTAATGATGAACTAGTTACTTATGTGTATAGAAAGCCTACTCATACAGGACTATATATTAATTGGACAAGTAACCAACCTAGAAAATATAAAATAAACTTGATCAAATGCTTATGTATCAGGGCAAAACGGATTTGTTCTACCAACGAACTATTTGAAAGAGAACTACGATATTATACACGAATCTTTTGTGCTAATGGTTATCCGTTAAATATTGTTAAGAAGACGATACGAGGGATTAAATTGAATAAGAACATACATAAGCCCGTTCAACCGTCAAACACTAGACAATGTTACATGTCACTTCCTTATTATAGTATATGCTCATCAATCCTGGCAAATAAAATTAAACATCTGCTCCAAAATCCACTTAAAAATGTGACTTTTGGGTTTAAAGCGGTACATACACTATCTTCAGTATTTAACAAAACAATTCGGGAGACACAGGATTCCAAGAGTGTAGTTTACAAATATGATTGTTGTGGATGTATACATAGTTATATAGGGCAAACAGCGAGAGGAGTAACAATAAGGAAAGAAGAACATCAGAAAGCATTTTATGGAACAGGATTTTCTAAGATAGCAGTTCATTGTACGAAAACATGTCATCGTACGAATTGGAATCCAGAAATTCTTGCAGTTGAATCGCATCTTATAAAAAGAACTATTAAAGAGAGCTTATTGATAGATATTCATACAAAACAAAATAAAAGAACGATTTATTCACAAAAAAGTTTTGACCTCAAAGTATTTTAAGGACATGTGAATAGAGCTGATGAGAGAGAGGGATGAGAAGAAGAAAGAGAGAATGTTCGTTATGATCTATTCTGTTGTGTTCTACATGCTTGAAAATTTTTATTTTTATTTTTGGTTTTCTATCTTCAGAATCAACTATCGTTTGTCACATTTGATTGATAATGTCTTTTGAATAAAGACGAAACGTCTCTAACGGAAAATAGCTATTTTCATTATGATAAAGGTGGTTTATATCTTATTGTCTATTTTAAAATTTTTCACCTTAAATGATGATTCAATAAGAATATTCAGTTCACTACTGATATTTAGGATATCGACTGTTGTGATGTTTAGTCTTTTTCTTCTTAGTGAACGCACGCGAGATTTCCACACGTGAATTTCTCTTTCGTTTTCTTATTCTTATTTTTTCTTAGATATAGAATAGTTGAAGACGAGCAATAGGCCTGTAGCAACAAATGTAAATGTTAAAACTTTGGTCAAAAAAGAGACATTTTACATTTAAAATGTTTGTTTTATCAGCTGTGTCAGAACAGAAAAGGACGATACATAAAGGACGCACGCCGCCTTTTTACCTTTTTTTCTTTCCCTTCTGTGTATATTCTGTGCGCTGAAGAACACTCTTGATACACAGACAGCCAAGAATCATTTTTTCTTCGCTTTCTTTTTTGCTAAACACGAGAAATGAACAGTATTGAATGAAATCTGCTGTTTTTTACTACATCTCTGGATAGTTCATTTATTTATTACTTGATCAAAAGAAACATAGCCAAACAAGCAGATACAAGTAAGAGTAAATCTCTTTTTTTAACGTAAAAAAAACGTAGAAATAAGACCAAGAGCGGTGTTCCACCACTATTCTTCTATGTTTCTCAACGCTCTCTATCAAAAAAAATTAAAAAAGTATTCTACCTGTCGTTAATAAGAACTACAAGAAAAAAATAAACACACAAGTCAAGAAATGTACAAACTTTGTAGTATTTCAACGAAAGAAAAAGACCTATGAGAATTATCCCTAAATGGGAAACAAAACACTTTTGCTGTCTTGAATACAGCTGCTGCACCATACATAAGAACTAACACATATGAAAAACAAGCTATCGCAAAAAATATACGCACCTATGGCTAGAGAGATGCGTAATAAGACCAAGAGCGGTGTTTCCCCACTATTCTCCGGTGTTTCTCACCTCGCTCTATCAAAAAAAAAAATTGAAAAAGTGTTCTCTCTTCGCTCCCTCTAAAAGAAAATACGTCTTTTCTCATTAAAAAATCGGAAAAAGTAAACTCTTTTGCTTTTTCACCCGCACACAAATCGATAAAACCTGACACACATGCGTGTTTGAATACAAAAACCAGCTTTCTAAGAACAGATAATTCGCATAAAAAAGAGAGGACTTTTCATTTTCTTGACTCAAAGAAGAAATCGTTTGGCTCTTACATTCGCCAAAAATGCACAACACAGACTTACACTTGACCAAAGATTTTTCTCATATCGATAAACTGCATGTATAGATTCATATACCTTCATTTCTCTTGTCAGGTGTTCCACAATGATACGTTCTTTACTCAAATGAGAATTGAATATTTGTTTTTATATAGCTGGCAAATGTCGCAGTTCGTTTCTTTTTATTGGAGTAAGTAAAATATTATTATTTTTAAATCCTTTGTCAGCGAGAATTCGACAGTGCTGTGGAATCTGACCGAGTGTAATATTATTGTACATACGGCTGTCATGAACACTTCCAAGAAAGCTACTCTTGAAAAAGATTAATCGACGATCAGTGGACACGACGTATATCGACCCTAAACAGTGGCGCTTGTTCTTGCCACTATAAAAACTCTCTGTTGAGCACCTTAATAAGAGAAAGAAATGTACATGACTTTCGTTCGGAAAAATACTAGCCTAGCAGAGATGGGCAAGTCAGCTCATTTTTCCAGTCAAGTCGACATATTTTTTGTTTCGGTTCGAGAATATTTTCGAAAAGAATCGACTTGAGTTAAGACTCAACTATTAACGCCGAGTCAATGGGCTCGAATGAAGAAAGGACATGTTTTCGCCTGTCTTTTGAACTTTTTTCCGTTTATAAGGTGAGAAAATTTTGCTATAAAAGTGTGAATAATTGTAAACAAGTGCGGACTCAAAGTTTCCACTCGTTTTTTTCGGAAAACCTAACCTCCCAGTTCCTTCTCCCTAAACGCAAAAGCGCTTCGTTTGTTTAAACTGATGGATTCAGTGGCTCCATTTTTAATAATTTACACCCTGTGAAAACAGCCCTGTTTTCAAACAGAAAGAGAAAATTATATTGAAATCGACTGTAAAGTGACGATTTTAAAATAACAACTTGAATCGACATCATTCGAGTCATTAGAACTTATTACAAACGGTGTGGATATCTGGTTCGGTAGTACTGCAGGTCTACTCTATACAACGTTAGGTTCGAATACATCCATCAATATAAGTACAACCGTAACTAATATTCGTCAATCAGCGATATTCGCTAACCAGCTTTATGTCAGTACCGCCTCGGGAACCTCAGGCCGTATTGGCAGTGTTGGAATAGGTACGCCAATGTCCAGTGGAAATACTATGACCAATCTTCCTGGATTTAGCCTTACTGACTTTCCAGTTTCATTTTCCTTCGCTGATCTAGATGCTAATGTCTCAGGCGTAGATACCCTTTATGTAGTCGATGATAGTGGTAATTCTGTGACAAAATGGTGTTTTGTTAGCGGCAACTGGACTCGTCTCAGCTCAATTCCGACCAACGCTGTAAGTGGTCTTACTGGTAAATTTTCGGTACGCGTGTCGATCTTTTCTTTACCTCTCCTAACACGTTGTACAAATTAACCGATACATCTGGCTATAATCAAACAATCCCCGCTAATGTTTTAGCGACTCCGATCGTCAATGGGGGGACCAATCAAGCTTTTCGTGGGATCGCTTTGCCACCAAGCTCATAATGGAATGGAAGCGTTGCCCTATTAGATTCTACAACTTTCATACGTGAACTTGTACTACTGTACTACTGCTGATATTTGATTTTTCAAAGGGCTTCGGATACTTGAAAAACTCAAAGATAACGATTAACTGATTTTTGGGGTGTGTTATAGAACGCAAGAAAGTGAAAAAAACAATTTTATATTTGCAGTCAGATTATATCATCTTTTGCTTGTTTGACTTTTCTCTTTATATTCATATCGTTTATCGATAAACTAAGGACTGCTGCTCCTATTTTAGTCCGATTCATTGTGTCATCGAATGATTTTTACGGATGGCGACCATAATCAATTTGTTCCAGAGAAAGCGGGTTAAATCATGTTTTAAGCAGGGTCTGTAGTAACAATGTACTTTATTACACTATACTTCAACAACGATAGCTTTTCATTATTTGATATTAAATATGAGTGAATGGTGCCAGCGCCATCTCTTTGGCAGTCACTTTATTTGCAGGGGAGTTAGTTTAATGTTACTTTAGAAAATAAATGTTGGTCAAAGTCAAAGTTTCTTCGCAGTAGCAGTGTCTGTATATCAATGTCAATATGAGAATCACGTTGCTTTATTTTTTCAAATAGTTTCACTGTAGCTAAACGATAGTTGGGACAATGAAGGAAATAATGTTTCACAGACTCAACTTGCCCACATTGACAAAGGTCAGCTCCCTGGCCAGTTACAATATGTCTTCGAAACAAATCACTTTTTAAGACTGAGAAGTCAACTCTCATTTGTTGAAAAGCAATATCAACAGTTTTATCTATCCCTTTTACCGGTCAGTCCGTTGTCACGTGCTCGATCGGGGAATATTGCTCGAACGAGCAACTTGCCCGAACGAGCAACTTGCCCGAACGAGCAACTTGCCCGAACGAGCAACTTGCCCGAACGAGCAACTTGCCCGAACGAGCAACTTGCCCGATCTGGCTAGACGCTATCTTGGAAACCAAGATAGATGTCCAAGTATCATTATCTAGATAATGCTTGTATAACGATGCGTGTTCTTTATATCTATGGCACCAAAAACACAGAAAATAACAATGGAGGGGGGGGGAGGGGTAGCAGTATGAGAGTGTGAAACTCACGAGACAGTTTCTTATTTCCCCGATTTTCTGAAATTCGTATTTTCTTAACATGCATTGTTATATAGGCATTATCTAGATAACGATAATTGGACAGCTCTCAACCATAGGTCCTCTAACGGGTGGAATGTGCTTATTCTTCGTCTCGCACATTCTGTATTCATTGTGCATCAAAAATTATGTGTTCCACTTTTTCCTTCCTCATGGGAGAAATGAAAAACAAATTTAGCTCAATATCGTCCATTTTATCTTTTCCGATCGGGCAATACTGCTAGTTCGGGCAAGGTCGGTATTGCCTGTTTCGGCAATATATCTTGTCAGATCTATTGATCTACATACATTTATTTGTACTTTACGCACATTTATATGCGTACGAAGCCTTACTAGAAAGTTTTTTTTATATAAGTACATAGGAAGGTTACGTCTAGCAAGAATTGCGATTTGTAATAGATAAAAGTCTGTCAAATAAGTGTGAACGTATCTGGTAAATTTCATGAGTGCTTCTCTTTGTATTCAACTGTAGTTATTCTCTAACTCTGTACTTTTATAGACAAATTTCTTTCTTTTCTTTATTTTCGTTACGTGAATAACAATGAGAAAAAACAGAATGTATATACACATGTACATATACAAACCATTATAAGCATGCGTGTCTGAACAATGTCCATGTGCACAAGACAAGAAGGGAAGAACATAACACACTGACAAATAGTTATGTAATAAACGATCAGAACCTCTGATTCACAATTATTTTTCTAACACTAGTTAAGTAGTATTTCATCTGCATAAATACCGTCGAATAGCCTTCCTCTTCAAGTTCGAAAAGTCGAGTTATTCTTTTGAAAGTATAAATATGGTTCTCACATTTCGCAGCAAAAGTCGACGTCATCCGGGTCCTGTTAAAAAAGAAGAGTGTATCACCAGTTACGATTCACTATCCTTGTTCTATATTTTTCTCTTCCTGTTATCGTTGTAGTCGTTTGTCATCTTCTATATACTATACGTAGTGCGCATAGTAAAAGAAACATTACATACAATAAGAACAAAATTCATTGTTTTTCTTTATTCTATATTTTTCGTTTAGTTTAGTTTAAACTTTATTTATTTAAGAAAAAGAAATAAGAATTCTACACAGATGCGGTCTAGGCCATTATATCAGATGAAAATAGAGCTGCGACAAATAGTGATTTTCTTTTCTTTTCTTTTTTCTTTTCTATTTTCTTTTCTTATTCACGCTATATAGGTGCGAAGCTTAACTTCTTTTCCGACTCAGCTATCTCCAGAACATCATTAGAAATATTGGTCGTCGTTGGTGTAATCTTTCATGGCCTATCACTAGACCTGCATTCGGTTGCCAGTACAGATAGCCGTAACCGTGCAAGACTCTAGTACCAAACACCATTAGTTTGGGTATTTTATGTGAATGACGAACATCAGCTGAATATTGACAAAGCTTTTATCTCCATTCCACTATAGAACATTCCAACCTTCTTTTCTTTTTAACAGTCAATAAAAACTCTATAGAAAAACTATTCGAGTACTATTTCTTGGTCCAAATACGTCGTAGTCAACTTCATACGGATCCGGCGCCACGATTACACCTGTTTCACTTTCATACTTCACCCATAGTTCAATCAGTTCTTTCAACACTTCCGGCTTCTCTTCTGCCAAATCTTTCGATTCGCCCTTGTCATGTGTCAAATCATGCAATTCCCATTTTGTCTCCTCTGGAAGTGGGCCTTTTGGGATATAAAGAGCTTTATAGTTTCCGCGACAGATTGCCCGTTCGCCGAAGAGCTCCCAACCGGTGAAATCCTGGCATTCATCATGGATTGGTTGATGCGAGTGAAGATGCGACACCCAAGACTTTCCGCGAGGCAAAACGACTTGCTGACCTTGAAAGGTTGTACCTGGATGTGTCAGACCGCCTAATTCGAGTATCGTAGGTAGGATATCCATGACAGTACAAAATTCATGCGACATTCTTCTCGATGTCGACGTCAGTGGACCATAGTGTACAATAGCTGGACATCGAATTCCGCCCTCTGTGACGTGTCCTTTCGTCATTCGACTTGGTGCCGTTGCTGCTTGTGCCCATCGCGAGCCATACCAAATAAACGAAGTCTTTGTACCAATATTTTCATAGGAATTATCAAAGTGTGTGATGCTTTTATCAATCGATTGAAGCGGAAGTGCCTCGAGTACACTTCCTTCCGCTCCATTGTCGGACATAAAAAGAATAAATGTATTATCGAATTGATTCGTCCGACGGAGATAGTCGACCGACATTGTAATCCAATCGTTCAACCATGGCTTCATAGATTTCCATTGTTTTAGCCGAGAATGCCCGCTCTTCGTCCGACATCAAGGTCCACGACTTCTGATCTGTTGACACCGTTGCGAGGACGACATCGGGAGAGAGCAAGTCCAACCGACGTTGGCTTTCAAGCCGGGCTGCACGCAACGCATCTGGCCCTGCATCGTATCGTCCTTTGTACTTCTTGATCAACTCTTTCGGCGCTTGCAAAGGCCAATGCGGAGCAGTAAAAGCAAGATAGGCGAAGAACGGGCGTTCATCATCTTCGTCGAGAAATCGAATCAATTCCGACGTGAAATAATCTGATGAATAGTAGTCATCCGGCAGAGTTGTATGATTAACAAATTCATCATCTCGTGCATACAGCGGAGGCATAAAGTCGATCACTGGTTGTTCTGCTGTTCCAGGTTCATAGTTGAAATGACTGCCGGCGCCTGGTAGCAGCGCAAAACTCTTTTCGAAATCTCGCTTCGACGGAAATCGCTCCTTTGTCAACCCTAAATGCCATTTTCCAGCCATCATCGTTCGATAGCCACCTAGGTCCCTGAGGATCTCGGGAAGAGCGGCAACCCGATCGTTCAAATATCCCTCATATCCTTGTTTTCCGTCCCAAATTCCTTGATATAGTTGCATAACTTCAAGCATTTGCCCAACACCAGCCAGATGATGATCGGTTCCACTGAACAACATCGAACGTGTGGGAGAACATGCTGAAGCCGTGTGAAAATCGGTAAAAAGAGTCCCGCCATCAGAAGCGAGGGATTCGAGGTGGGGTGTGGATATTTCGGATCCGTATGGTGAAGCGTCTGAATAGCCAAGATCATCAGCAACGATGATAAGAAAATTGGGACGACACATAGTTAATATATTGCTTTGCAGGGTAGTAGTAAATATAAATGAGAATACCAAGCGAAGAACGGCCACAAACATTGAGAATACTTCTTAAACTATCTTTTATTTGTGCAAGCGACAACTGACAATGTCTTTTCTTTCTTTTCGCGTTAACTGAGAGTTCGTCGAATGTTCTGCAAAGCTCAAGATCGAAAGACTCATGTTTCGTCGTGCATCTAAAGCCGACTTTCGGTTGGAGTTCGATGCATTTCTACTGGAGTTGCGTGTCATGGAATCTTGGTAATTGTCTTCACTTGCTGCGTGTCATGTGTGATGTTCTCACTCGATTTCGAGAACGAGTGCAGTGACAACAATGCTCATAGGAGTTTCTCTCGAAGTCCAGTCAATCGACTGTTGATGTTTCTCCAATTCGCTGAAATTCACCCGTCAGATCACTTTGATCAATGATCAAGTCCATGGCTGGATAGAGATTTCAAAAAACAGAGACAAAGAGTCGAAAAAAAACAACGTTCAGATGGACTTTTTTGCATGAAAGCGATGATCCTCACTCTCGTTTTCCGAACAACGATTTCACGAATGACGATCGTTCAACGATAGTTCGAGATGCGATTACTAAAGAAAAGACTTGAACAGACCACCAGATCATCGAATGAAGATCGACACTTCTCTCTTCGATCCAGCGATCAGAACATCAACGAAGAAAGATCGTTGTTTCTCTTAGCGAAAGATCTTGGAAATGCTTTGCGCATGTTGATTTCTCTGCACAAACTCGTCTCTCGAGTTATCGTTTGTATAAATATTAAACAATAAAAACTTATTATAAATTTTTGAAAAAATCTCTAGAAAATCATTATCTGTAACGAGCTCTCTAATGAGAACATTCTGAATCAGAAAAGAAAAACAATTTTTTCTTACGTTTCACACAAGTGTGAAATTATCTAATGAGTATGTAACAATTATACAGAACTTTTTTCTCGGATATCCAAATCTTTCAAGCTTGTTGATTTCTCTAAAAATACTTGTGATCGCTTTTTTGGTATCACGAATGAGCATGCGTGATTTTAATATGCAACAAACATATGTGTAAAGGTTGTAGTCTTAGCTTATGCAGTTTCTTCTGCTGCGATGTTCAATGATTATAACATCAGCTATTCGTCATTTCAGCAATGTTAGCCAAAAATTGTCCAAAACATTTCCAAACGGTTGGTTTTTCCAAACTTTTTGAGTAACAACTTTTTCGATGAACATAAACATTTAGGTGTCTATCTGACAAAAACATTGGATTGGTTAGTTCATGTTCGGTACATATTAAAAAGACGTAATTACACGCTCCATCTAGTGCGCAGACATAAGCATATTCTGAGCACATCTACTCTCGACCAGGTTTTTAAATCCTACGTACTCACTGTGATCACTTAAGCTGATATCAGTGGCGGATCCAGCACTATTGCGGTCCGGCGACCACCGCCCCCTCGCAAATGGAATTCTAGTACAAGTACACTCCCAGACTTCCTTGGAAAAAATATTCATACTACCTCTGACGACGTCGTTTAGAAATCGCCACCCCGTAGGTAGAATCCTGGATCCGCCACTGGCTGATATAGTTTATTCTACTTTAAAGCAGATTCATTCCAGAGCAAATTCTATAGATACTGTACCATCCTATTTGAAATAACTTTTTGATTTACAATACAAAGCTGCCCCGATCGTTACTGGAGTTATGCGTCTTTCCCCTAGGGAAAAGTTTTAGGTTGGATTCCGATTGAACACATATGCAATTAACAAAATTTTGCCCTTTTTTTAATTGTCATTGGAATAGCGACAAAAATTTTAATACTCTTACTGCAATACTAAACTGCAATGATGACAGTAAAGAACGACGATGATTAACCTATAACTGACATCAGCAATATGTCACATAAAAACAACAGCATCAACAAAATTCAAATTGATTAATCTGACTCATTCTGTTCACATCAAGAATCGGTGGAAAGGATTATTTAATCTATTAGTCTAATGACTATTGTTGATCATATAACAGGTTTGTAAGGGGTGAAACTCGAAGAAAAATAAGAGACATTCGATAAAAGATATGATTTCGATAAAACATTTGGACCTATTTAATTCCAAAACGCTGAAATGATGTCAGAAGAAATGTCAGGTTAAACTTGTAATTATACATTATTTGAACATGTTGTAAACATGTTTCATTTAATTGGTTATATTCAGCAGCTGTAAGTGGGCGAGGGGTCGGATGTTTAGTTGCTATATGGTCTCTTAAATGTTTCTCCTTCTTAAACGATCGGTTGCAATTAGCATAAGGACATTTCACAGGCCTTTCGGGTTTTGGGTTGTTTCCCTTGTCCTGGAATGAAAAAGTGGTCGCCGGCGTCGTCGTTGATTGAATAATAAACGATTGATCCGATAGCTT